CTTTCCATACGCTTCTTTGAATATAGAGGAAAAATCACAAAATAAAAAAGAGAGAAGCTAATTAAAGAAAATGAGAAAAAAGAGCATTTGGGTGGAAGCTCTAAGAATCCGTTTGATTACAAGAGTTGAATTTGGGTGGAAAAAAAATGAATTACAGAGGATTGAATTGTCTAAAATTGTTTTTCTGGGAATTGTCAATTAATTGTATTTGAATGATATAATTTTTCACCTAGAAAATGTTGAAATTTTGGATCTTTTGGTATTCATGTAACTTTGTTTTCCATAGAAATTGTTCATTAAAGGGAAAAAGAAAATTTTACGATTGGGAAAGAATTTATTTCAATTGCCAAAAAAAGGAAATTCTAGAAAACCATTTTCTCACAAAGTGGTGGGAAAACCAATTCAATAAAAACATGAATAGGGGCCACGTGGAGGGGTTGGGAGGAAAATATTTTGTCAAGAAAAAATTGGCTATCAAACATGACAAAAGTTGGAACTTGGAAAACAAGTTCCATGGAAAATAAGATGAATCAAACGAGGCCTAAGTATGACATTTATGCAAAGCAGGAAGGGGATTTTAGTGCTAGCACGAAAGAGAAAAATTGTATTCGGCATGGACGAATCTAGGACTGGATTACAAGTCGGGCTAATACGTCAAAAAAAAATTACACAAGAAATTTTTTTTTTACATAATTTTTTTTTTCTACTAAAAAAATTGAATGGGATAGCCCGGTCCAGCCCCCCTAGATCCGTCAGTGTTATTTAAAATCTAGACACTCTAAAATATGCTCCTCTAGAGCACGAGTCAAATGAGATATGACATTTTGGTCTTTTCTTCCCAATTCCAAATAAAACGAAAAGAATTGTACTAAAAATGCCGAATTTTGAATTAGTTTTTGCATTCTGCAATATGTGACTTTTTTTAAAATCTTGATTATTGTCTAATTCAATTTGCTGGTTATTATTTGTGGAGTCCTTACACCAATGAGTTTCATTACTTAGAAGAGAGCAGAAATTTAAGGTTGGTCTACCGTATTATTCCCATTATCTCGTGCAATATTGTTTTGAAACGATAATATTCAGGACTAGTACAAGAGTATTAAGCGGTCGAGGTAGGTAAAAAATAATAGTCACCTACATGCAATGCATTCGCCAATAATATATACAAGGAAACAATAACTACATTTGCATCCAAATGAAATCTAGGATGCACATTGTGAAGAGTTCCATCAACCCCAACAGCAAGAATCAGGGGCGGACACAGAAGTTGAAAGTTAGGGAGTACAATCGAACTTGCAAAGAAATTGGGAGAAATTTTACAATCGAAAATTTACGTCCAAAAAACTCATACCATATATAATTTTGCAAGCGAAAAATTACATTGAGAAATTTGTATTGTAAAAATAATAAATGTTAATGAAATAATTGAATTTTTTTAAAGAAAATGTGAGTTACACGTCTTTCTTTAAATCTCACGTTTAACGAATTGTTAACTATTTTCGATATCTGTTTGGATTATTTGATATGTTTATAATGTAGTTCTCGAAATACGTTTTGAGATGACATAAGTAATTTGTAGTCGAAATTTTTTTAAAGTTAGCATATTATCCAAATTTTCCAAATACCAATTTTGAAAGACTTACTTCGACAAGTTGTAGCATTTGCTATGATTAATCGTTTCGTACGCCATTAA